GAAGTATCTGTTTCTGGCAACATGTCAGCAGAGCTCAGGTTTTTGACCGGGCAGCTGCTCTACATCCTTGAGCTAGTTCTAAATGCCAACAAGAGGACCATCCTGTTTACATGTGTTACAGGTCCTGAAATCCTGATGATGTCACGTCAACATCAGAATCACAGGCGGGGTTCATTAGATTATCTAAGAAAGGGTTTTCATGTGCATTTAATCACCACCTGCTGCATGTAATCCACCACAATGACACAGGCTGAACTGATGAGTCATGAGAGGACAGCGTCTCACTCTTCATGTGTCGTCACTCATTGGGATTAGAGGGTAACAGAGTTTATCCACATGTTGGAGGTGAGACTCAGTCCGACTTCTTGCTTCTTAAATCTGGGAATCAACTGTAGGCCATCCCAAGGAATTTATTCTGAATATTTTTTTTAAAAAGCTCATTAGAGATGGTGACAATGAGGAAAAATATATTTGTATTTATTTCTCAGACTAACAGTAGCGATGAGAAGTTTATGGAAATCAAGGTGAAAATCTGATTAAATTGATTTGATAGCTTCTATTTGTGGAAGCAGAACAGGGACGATTTCTGACTGGTCCCCTATGAGCAGACCAGACCGATTATTTTACAATTAAAAGGAAAACACTCAAAGCAGATCTTAAAATTATATTCCTATTTTTGTTTATTGGGGGTTCACAGAATTTCAAGGAAAACCGACGTGTTTATTTTGCTTAGAGACACTGTCTGCCATTAAGGATTTTAGCATAATCACTACTACAACAAGTTGCACAAAGCTAAATATGAGAAGTTTACTGAAATCACACGTACTTAAACAGCGACTTTTTATCAGGACAATCCAGGAGTCTGCACTCAAGGCGTTTTATGTCGTTGCACTTCAGCTCACTAAAGTGTTTATTTTTTTTTGCTTCAAATGTTATGTGTTCATATTTATTAAACAAGAGTACAACTGTTCTACATGCATTTGAGCATGAAATATGTTCATTTAATGTGTTGGTTTAATAAATCGTTTTTAAATGAACGTTTTATTACATTTGGGTAAGTGTGCAGTGGCAATCTGCTAGTGTCAACAAAAATTAGCTGCTCCTTCAATCATTTAAGTTACCCATCCCCAAGTTAGAGCAAAGTAGCAGCACAGAGTTATGTTGCACTTTCTGAGAAGGGAMTCAACTAAAGAACTGAGCAAAGTAGTCCATAGCTGTTAACGTAGACCTTGTTCAGCTCTGCAGTCTTTGTGAGCCCAGCATCATAAATAATCAGTTCTTGACCTGCTGCAGGCGCTGGATGTTTAGCATCTATTGATCTTTTACATAAGAATACTGTCTGACAAATCTCTAGATTTAAAAATATCTATACAAGATAAAAACAGAGCYGCTTGCATCCTTTGAGGAAACAAATCTGAACTAATGGAAATCTTTTAAAACCAACATCAGTTTAAAGATTATTTGCCAGTAATCCTATAAGAATCTAAAGCAACAAGCAAATATTGGACATATAGCAAATTGCTCATTTTTACAGCCACCTGTCAAGTCAATACGTGATGTTAATTTAACTTTTCTTTTTTTTTTTTTGGATGGTGTTTCCCTTTAACTGTGCCAGGGAACTGACACCAGCGCAACAACAGGTGGCTCTTTCCCATCACGCAGCTGAATTTAATTAGCAGTTTTTGCGACTAATCACCAGGGGAGCAGAGCAGCACACAGTGGTTAAATCAAAGTGAGCCACTTGTGACGGCGAGTTAGGATATGAGACATCTTTGGACTGCAAATTAACGTGTGGGAACAGAAGCCAGGGGAGTTGGAGGGGAACAAGAAGAACCAAACAAACTCTGAGCCAGTGTACTCCCAACCCTATCTCTCTCACACACACACACACACACACACACACACACACACACACACACACA